CACCTCCGCCCTTGTACAAACCATTTGGATTGGCGTTATGGCAGTAGTTGTACCACCAACCACCTTTATAGTCTAACGCACAGTTTCCGCTGATTTTAACGTCGTTATCTTTGTCTTTGGTTGTAAACCTCATATTTCTAAGATATCAAAAGCATTTCGTGAGAAACTGAGAAAAAGCGAGAAAGCAATGCTTCTAGCAGCGTATCATAGTCAGTAAAAAGCAGATGGCACTGCATGGTTGGAAATACGTAAGAAGCACTAATTGTCAGCAGTGCACATAAAAAGTTTCCCTTTCAGGAAAGTTTGAGAAAAAGGAATTGTAAGCAAGTACACATGTTTTTTAGGGTAATAGCGTCAACATGAATTTGACATCATCTTTATGAAAGAAGCAATCCTAGTTAGCAATAAACGGGAAGTTGAAAAATCTGATCGGCGATGATGCAATACTTTAGCTTAGATTGTCATTAAGAGAAAAAAGCTGATCAGCCTAAGAATTGGGATCCTCGACTTCCAGCAGTCCTCAACGTATTTCCAAATTCTTGGGCAGGAGCTTTTCAGAAATTACCCTCATATTACTGGTCATTCCTAGAGCAAAGTACAAAAAGCTGCAATGCAACAAACCTGATGGGCCTATCAAGGGAAACCAATGCATCGCCAGCGGTGCCTCGGTATCCATCGATTGTCACTCGATAATCATCGCTTTCGTCGGCCACAGCGAAAGTCGTGTACTCGGCAAATCGTCGGTCGCCTTCGTAATCCTCCACATCAATTCGAAACACCATGCTGGCAGATGCTGTCAGACGGTGAAGATAATCGTTTCCGAGCCAAAACTCGCCCTCCAGATTTCCAAAGCCCTTTTTGTATGATTCCCAGTCGACATAAAAGTCTACGGAGCCATTCATGCGCCTTTGAAAGGTGGTCCATCCTCCACCATCAGTTGTCATGTCACACAGCACTTGAAAGGGGTGTTCTTCATCAGGGTAAACCCAGTACACACCGTCGATTTTGGAACCATTTTGATAATAATCTAGACAGTTCTTTGCCGGGCAATCTAGAAATAACGAAAAAAAGTAAAACGCTTTGACGATAACAAAAATTATTTATTCTCTCTCTCTCTCTCTCTCTCTCTCTCTCTCTCTCTCTCTCTCTCTCTCACTCTCTTTTTAGATGTTTTTGTCATGGACGTTACATCCTTGACCTTTCGTACCCTTGCCTCAGCTGGTGCTAATCTACCCGTTTTATCTGTCTTGGCATTTTCAGTATATCCCTCTCCTAGAGTATTTTTTGTCTTTCCCCGAACAGATCTCCACTTACCTCTAATACACTTACAAAAATGAGTGTTTGATTTGTAGTCAACAGCACAAGTTTTACTCTCCTTGCAAGGATCGTCTTCCTCGCAGGTGCTCTAACAATTAAAGAAAGAAAATCATTATACAAAGAGATATCAAAAGGATGATGGCAGACTTTTTCGTTTAAGAGGGCTCCATGGGGTTTTTTGACCGCGCGAAATCTGGGTGCGAACATAGCGCGAGTTTAAAAAGTGTCAACATGCATAACAAACATGGCGGCT